TGAAACTTGAAGAATCTGCTGAAGGGGTCAAATCCATACAGTCTGGGTAACAGTTGGGATAAGTCACACTTTCTTTTCTTCTTTCTTTTTTTCTTTTTTGAGACAGGATTTTGTTATGGAGCCCGAATTGGCCTCAGATTTATAGCAATCCTCCCACCTCAGCCTCTTGAGTGCTACAATTACAGACATGCAGCACCACTCCTGGCCGGTCACAGTTTCCTGTGGGGAGCATGGAAGAACAATGATAACATGCTTAGATATGTAGAAATTAATATGATTAAAGGTTAAATGGAGGTGATATTAAGCTCAATACCACACTTCCCTAAAAAAGAAGACCTATTCAGATAATAAGCCCTAGCATGATTTTTTCAGGATGGTTGTAATATAAGCCCTACCCCAAAACTAAGCCCCAGTTAAGATTCTCAGACAGACAGATACATTTAGTGCATCTGTTGCAACACACCATGGATATATTGAATTATAAAATAACATATAATTGAATATAAATAAATAACTATTGATATCAATATTGAAAGTAAGTGATAATTTAAATTATAATTATTTGTAAATACTCAAGTAGGCACCTTTGAATGATAGGTAAACACTTATGTAAACACATGAATTTAAGCTTATTTCTGAATGACCAGAGTACAGACACAAGACACAAATAACATTCACACTTAATAATGAGTAGATGTGGTTATGTCTAATGTCTAATGTGAATCTTCATAATTCAATGAGTTGTGCACTATAACGTTACATGGATGGAGACCACTATGAAGCATCCCTGAGCAGGACTTAAATTAATCAATTGCCTTTTCATGTTCACTTGTGTCCATGTCCAAGGCCTAGGCTCCTTATCTGGAAATGGCGGACTCATAGTAAGGGAACCTCTGTGAGTCACTAATCCCTCCTAAAACCTGTAGTGGTGGATGAAGCTGGAAACCCTCAAAGGATAAGACAAGATCACAGCTAAGGACACCTGGATCCAATCTCAACTAGATAAAGACTATGGCCTCAGGCATCTCACT